TTGCGACTGCAACAACACCTGTGGTTGCAAAGTTCACAGTGACTTCTCTCGACTCCTCTCAAGTGGTGGACTTCAACATTCCAATTGTTTGCCGCCGAACACGTCATAGCCCCTTACCATGAATTTGAGTTGATTTCAAATCTCTTTGACGGCCACACTAGTGAAGACGTGCCACACCGCTCTACGTCACTTATCGCCGCTGGCTCCCATTGAAAATTAATGACTTCCATCTTCTTCGACGCTCTCGCCGTCTTCGGTGAGAATGCTCAGTAAGAATTACATAGAGACATCGGGGTTGACTTGAGTCAGTATAAACAACTTTTTAGCAACCATACAGAACACCCAAGCAACTGCATAACAATCACCCATTACACCCTTGCAACCATCTAAAGCACCCTGACAATCTGCATGGATGTTGAGATGGGGTGGCTTAAAGTGAATATTTATCCCCTCGGGATGTGATTGAGAACAACTTCAATACTTGCATTAATGTAACAGAGACTGAGGGTGCTTTTGCGACAGTATAAATCTACCTAAAATCTACCTCAAACAAACTAGCATTCGTTTATAAACTGCATAGCAACCACCAAAAATGCAACCTGCATGGATGTGGTATTATTAAGATGAGATTTTACTAGCTTCAAGATATGAATTTTTAGCACACTTTGAGGTCTCTATATGCTAGCATATGTCTAGCAACTAGCCAACATCTATCACATACTGTAGAATCAATCCAAAACTGATACTAGCCAACATCTATCACATACTGTAGTATCAATCCAAAACACCCTAGCAAGCTCATAATAACCATATGGAACACGCAAGCAACTACATAACCATCCAAAACACCCTGGACACCACATTACGACCCACCAGAGCACCTTTGGAAACACAAAGCAATACATTACAACCACTTTATCATCCAAATAACAGTGTAAGTTGAGGATGTTTGTGCTAGTGCATTTATTTCCTTTATAACATGTCCAAAAAAAATCTAATATTAATAGTTACAGAATTCGGCATAGAGATTTGACTCTTTTTAAAGCATCAGATTAGCATTTGCCTTATTTCCTGGTTAAACACTACTTGTTTAATGATAGAATTGTTTGTTTACCAGCACACTCCAATATCAATATTTGCTAGAGGCTGTTACATTCATGTTTGTTTGATCATCGTACAGCATTCAAGTGAATGTTTTCTGTCAAGTGCTTTTACAATATAATATAATGATGCTAAATGCTAGCACTCTGCTCTCTTTTTTCCCTGACTTAATAACAAATGTTTAATGTAAAGTCCTAGTCACAATAGCCATAAGCAAAGTAGAATAAATCATAATTGGTAAATTTCTGCCATTTAATTTGTAATTTACCATATTATAATTAAATTTATTTTTGTAAGAAAAATGGTGGTTGCTTGCAACAAAGCCATCTGCCATAACGTTTTTGTGTTGCTGTTAGCGCATTTGTTACAACATTCTGGCTATAGGTTCAACTAAGAAAAAAAATATTAATTCGTAATTTATAGTTCCTTTCTTATGTAATTAACCATATAGTCATTTTATTTATTGTAAATAACATTGTTTTTTGTAACACAGCTATTTGCTAATGTATCTGTGTCGCTGTTAGCGCATTTGTTACAACGCAATTGTTTATACAGTCTTGCTAGTCATTTGGTCATCTAGTCTTACTCTTCTTGGCTGTCATCTTCTTGGTGTTGGTCATCATCTTCTTTGTCTTTGTTGTCATCTTCCTCCTCATGGTCATCGTCATCTTCATTGTCATCTGCTTTGTCGTCTTCGATGCCATCTTGGTCTTAGTCGTCATCTTCTTGGTCTTGGTCTTTGTCTTCATCTATGGTCCTCGTCTTGGTCTTCTTAGTCTTTGTCTTCTTAGTCTTGATCGTCATCTTCTTTGTCTTCGCTGTCATCTTCCTCCTTATGGTCTTGACATCCAAGACGAAGATCAAGACAAAGACCAAGAAGATGACGACTAAGACCAAGAAAACTAAGATGAAGACTAAGATCAAGATGGCATCAAAGACGAACAAGACTGAGCAGATGACGACTACGACTAATCTCTTATGTCGCAAACCAAATCAAAATCGCAATGTCTGTCAAAAAAAATCGCAGTTGGATATTTTCCCGAAATCGCACAGCCCTACTGCTATCTGTGTTTCTATTAGAACGTTTGTTACAACTTTCTGGCTAGTTTCTACAGCCTTGCTGAGTGTTTCTTAGTCAAATAGATATTACCAAGGTAGAATTAATCTTAATTAGTACATTTGTGTTCCTTTATTTTGTAATCAAACATATAATCATTGTATTTATTTATTGTAAAAAAATTGTGGTTTCATGTGACATAGCTATCTGCTAATGTATCTGTGTTGCTGTTAGAGCATTTGCCTAGTTTCTACAGCCTTGCTAGGCATTTCCAAGTCAAAATAGCCATTTGCAAAGTATAATGAATCTTAATTAATTAGTAAATTTCTGTAATTTCTTTTTTAATTAACCATATCATTTATTTTTTTGTAAACAAATATGTGGTTTCCTGTCACATAGCTATTTGCCATGAAGCTATGTAATCGCTGATGGTTCTGTATTGCTATTAGCGCATTTTTTTTACAACATTCTGGCTAGTTTCTACAGCCTTGCTAAGCATTTAGGAAAGTAATGAATCTTAATAGTATTTTTTGGTTACTTTTTTGTAATTAGATCATTTTATTTACTTTTTGTAAACAAAATTGTAGTTTCTAGCAACAAAGCTATCTGATTATGTACCAGTGTTGCTGTTAGCGCATTTGTACAACTAGTTTCGACAGCCTTGCTAGGTGTTTCCATTTCAAAATAGCCATTAGCACTATATAATCAATCCAAATCCTGCTTTACTCAAGTTAATTTACCAAAACAGTTCGCTCTATCTCAGTCACTTGCCCTTACCAGCTGTCTACAATCATTTGATTTCTTTCTGCGCTTAAAAACCATGCCATTACTGGTCTAAATGACAGCATCTCTCCGGCGTCGCTGCTCTGGTGTTGCTATGTGACTGAATCTTCACAGCCTGGCAACGTGAGTCTCAAAGTCCCTGAGTCCCCGTCCGGCTTTGGAAGTGCAAGGTGAGTCATATAGTACTCAGGGGACGGGAAATAAAGCATTCCCTAAAAAATCATACATCAAATCCAGCACAGGGCTTCTGTTAGCTTAAAACTAGCTGCTTAGGGATTAAACCGCATGGCTTGGAAGCTGACTAACCTGCTGAAAACACAAAACTACAGAAACCATTGAAGAGTTTATAATGATTTTAATGGAAATTATATTGGTTTAAATTGAATCTTTTTGGGTTTTAAGGTCACAACTAGAGACCATTAAAATGTATTTGATTAACATCTTGAAGGTTTGTTATGTTTTTAGTGGCATTTGTACCAGCTGTAATGGATGCTATTGCATATTGTACCAGCATGGTAGAGCATTTGTGTGTGCACCTAAAAAAAGAAAGCAAAAGAAACCATCACAGAAGTTCTAATGGTTTCCACTATAATTACCATCAAAACACATTAAAGACAGTACATTTTAATTTATTTCTACTATGTTTTGGGACATACTCCTATAGGATTCATTGATTTTTACATACCATCAATTGAAGTCAAACAGTTACGAGAAACCCAAAACAACTGTTGCGGTTTCCATTAAAACAAGTGCAACTTCCAATATATTCATGTCAGGGAAAACAAATTTATTTTTATTACTTTTAGGTCTTTATTTTTTATTAGAAAAAAATGTTTAGACTAACAACAGATTAATCAATCTTTTATTTCTTGTATGATACCATATATTTACCAAGCTTACTTCTTTCTTACTGTGTTGCATACTTTTTTAGAAGGAACTGGTGACAAGAGGGAAATAGCAGAATAAGAGTAAATATAAAGCAGGGGTCCTTGCTCCAGACTGCTGTCTAATAAGAAGTCTAGACATGTCACACAGAGCTGGATGCTTGTAAAAGTTGTGAAATATATTAAAGTTACACTTAACTGTTTAGTTCTAGTATGCAGAAAAGGGTTGCAGAAAGAGGAAGTATGTTTGGGTACAAGAGCCAAAGGACCTTACATCAGTTGTGTATATATCAATCTAGGCTCATTCTGAAAACGTAGATCCGTAGACGTTCCTAGAAACCGTGAAATACGTACCAGGAGGTGCGGCAATTTTTGCTTTTGCGAATCCACGAGAGGCCTATGTGTGCTTTTTCATATCTCAAATGTCTCTCGTGAGTGCCATTCACACCTGCGCTGTTCTCCCGTAAACCCACCAGAGGCTGCTGTCGAACGACCGTCTGTCTGACTGACTGAATGATTGACTGTGCGATCAGGCAATCAACTGACCCACCCTCCTCCTTCCCTTAACCCAACAAATTTCTAAGATTGACTCGCCCACCAGCTTAGTTCCCTAAACCCAACCAACAATTAACAAAAGCTGTCCAGAAAAAGAAAACGCTCGTCTTATTTTTTTAAATATGTTTTCAGATTTCACCACATTCTGACCATGTAATTCACTTGTTTATTTTATTTTTTGGATACTGTTTTTGTCTTGTCTGATTTCTGTAACCACTCTTTCCCGGACTCGAACCCAATCGTCATCATGGTCAACACCTCTCAGCATCTCAAGTCCACCAACGTACACAACGAGCTAACTGGACAAACTAACTGTCGTGGGAAAGCCCTCCACACGGAGGTAATCGGTCAGCCGGTAAGCGCAAAACGCCCGTGACCGTATTGGGCATATTTGCAGTTATAGTAGTAATAATTGTACATTTAGTTTTAAAATTAATTCGTAAATAAGATTAAACTGTCCGATGTACACAAAAAATTAAGCATCACTAAAACACGAAAGAATAAACTACATTAACTCAAGAGCTCATCTTAAAAACAGGATATGACATCATCAAGGGTCATCTTGTATCATCAAGGGTCTCGTGGTGCTCTAGAGATGCCAAAGACGTCATGATACTCACTGAACGCAGCGATCGCCAAGATCATCGTCACCACAATGGAGACCCACGACACCCATAGTGCTTTTTTTCTGTAGCTTTGGGCCTCATGGGGTTTGAGCCGCATGCTGCTCTCCAGGAGCCCTGCTGAGGGACAGCACACAGTCAGATTACCTCATGCTTCCCTGACATAAGCATCTCTGAGGAACTCAAAGTGATTTATTCTCCGGTTAATATCTCAACAACAATGAGGTTCTGTTACAAAAGTTACGTTTTCATAAGCAATGTGTTTTCGTATACATTTATTTAAAGGGTTTATATGTCACAATTTTGATGTATTAATCACTCTTTTTAAGTAGAGTGTGAACAGTTTTCATCAAACTTAAATAAAGCAAGACCATCTCTGACTTCCTACAGGATGTCAATAGCTAGGTTTCATTCCCCCTGTGTTAAATTAATGTGCAATTTGAAGTACAGCATGAGGAATGAGTGATGGAAATGCCAAATTTCAAATAAAAAAGTTTTTATAATCGCTTGAGGTGGTTTTGAACTTGTTCGAAAAAGGATCAATGTGAATAATGAAAAATTGAAATGCATTTGTCGAATGAACATTACAACCGCCTGACTAGTCAGCTGTCTCCATTATGTTTGCCTTGTTTACTGTTGGTTGCTAGGATACCAATACTACAGTCAGCCACTCTAATAAGTTGACGGACACGCATTTAATTAGCATTTGGATTTTTTTTTGCTAAATGTTTTTTAGCGTTAGGATGTAAACTTTGCTAATAAAAACCTGATGACTGCCAAAAACAATTTTCATACAAAAGACTCATTTTTGGGGGTGAGGAAAAGCTAAATTAAGATTATTATATTTTTTATGAAGGACTCATTTATAGAAAAATAAAAATGATGACGGATTTTTATTTAAAGAAATTGTGACGATTTTTGATATGCTTATATATTACATATAAAGTTTAATTTTATGTAATACTTTACATGATTTTGAGTTTATTATTTATTACTGATTATTTATTATGACCAATATTTTTTAGGAATTGAATTACACAATAACATATTTCTGTTTTATTGTAGATTTATAGGGCTAAATATAATGTATTTAATGCAATTTAATTTAGCAATGAAATATTATAACTCTATGCATGTATAAAACATTTAATTCAATGTTCTGTGCAATCTTCCTTAGAAATTCTTACACTTACTAATGATTTCTTAGAGAAATTTTGTTTCTGAATAAATTCTACATCACGTTTTTTACCAGTGTATCCATGATATTCAATGTTATTGTAAAAAGGTGTTAATTTCAGATTAATGTAAATTAATACAGTGACAAAATAAACCCTACTGACATTAATGATGTTGTACTTTGCATAGAAAAACGTGATTTCGATTTTTAAAATAAACATGATTAAAATTATGTTAACTTAAATGGATCATGAACATATTGAATATGATTATCACTAAACTTCGTATTAACAATGTATTATGAACTCAAATCCATTATGTGGAACCAATGTCAATAATTCAATTGAGTAAATCCAACTGAATAATTTAAAGTGTCCATATACTATTTTTCCTTTAGTGCATAGGCTATTACGTATTTATAATAATAATAATTATTATAATTTTTTTTATTATTATTATTTACGTTTTGTCTATTATTAACTTTAATGTTTATTTCTAGCCTACACATAACTTGACTTTTAAAAAACACACCCTAAAGAAATGTAATACTGCCAAACCTGTAACAACTTGCACACAGGAATGTTTTTATCACAAAAATACCCCAAACCAAGAGTATCTAAGCCCTTCAAAACTCGTACCGTTATCCTCCGGCTCCCCGATCTTCATCTGCTGCTCCATGTTAAAACTGTCCGCTTGATTCGGATGGTGTCCGTTGGCGGGAGTCGATGCTGGATCCTCCAGAGCTGGATCCGGGGCAGAAGGAGCGGGACCGGGGTCTACAGGACCGGCCGTGGGGTCAGAGGCAGAGGAGGAGTCCGTCATGATGATTGGGGCCCGGGTTCAAATGTCTAGAAGCATCCGAAAAATGTCACACCTGGACGCGAGCGGAGAAGGCGCGCACTGCCGGGGAGCCGTTCAGAGCATCGCGGACGGGCGCGCGCGCTCTCTCACACACGCGCGCGCTAATTAAAAACACGCACGTGCGAACTGTACTTTATAAACAACGGCAAGGTGTCAGAAACATGCGGGAAGTATGGACATTAAATAAAAAAGTTGTGGACGTGAGGTTCTGTCTGGGGGGGAGCTGGTGACGCGTGAGCAAATAACCCTCTGCTCGTGTTAAATCCACTCGTAAAACACTCGTTTAAATCGCCTACATCTGAGAGAAAATAGGCTACATATATTTTTGGTCAGTAGACCATATTATTGTGATTTTTTATGTGTGTTGTTTTTCCTATATATATATATATATATATATATATATATATATATATATATATATATATATATATATATATATATATATATATATATATATATCATCATCAATAGTTTAGCAACTTGGAGATGGACTGGTTTATAGATTATTTAGATTGATTCATTTGCTGGTAAAAAGGTGTGTATTATAAATAAAAAGTAATTCCTAACTGAATCAGTGAAGTATTGGTGCATTAGCGACATCTTGTGTTTATTGCAGTTATTGACTGAGCTGTAAACAAGTCTGTCCAAATAAAATCCTCTTGCTGACAAAGGAATAATCTTAAATAACGTAAAATAGCTCTTATCAGGCTACTAATAATACATTTATATAATTATTTTTAATTATTAATATGTTGGACGAGACTCAAATAGATTTTTGCATTTTTTTAAACAATAATAATAACATAAACAACAAGTCTTTTACACAGACCTGTGTGTGTAATATGCAGAGGTGGAAAGAGTACTGAAAAATCATACTTAAAGTACCATTATTTGCCCAAAAATGTAGTGCAAGTGGATTAAAAGTGTTGTAAATAGTTATGAGTTAAAAGTAGCCTTTTCAAAAGTATTCAATTACACTGTGAAAAGTTAATGCATTTACATGCAGTTTGTCCAGGGATTTGTAAACGTAACATTCTGTAGTACATTCAGTTATTTTTCTATATTCCTTCCTTTCGTTTGTTCTTTCCTTCCTTTATTCATTCATTTGTTCGTTCCTTCCTTTATTCATTTGTTCCTTCCTTCCTTCCTCACGTCATTCATTTGCTCAGTCATTCGTTTGTTTGTTTATACATATTTTTTTCCTTTCTTCATTAGATCCTTTGTTCATTCATTCATTTATTCTTTTGTTTGTTCATTCCTTAGGTTGGTTCAGTCCTTCCTTGAATCCTTCATTCATTCATTTGGTCCTTCCTTCGTTCCTCCCTTCATTTGTTCGCTCATTCATTCGTTCGTTTATTCACATTTTAGTTTCTTCCTTCATAAGGTCCTTTGTTCTTGCATTCATTCTTTTGTTTGTTTGTTCATTGCTTAGTTTGTTCAGTCTTTCCTTGAATCCTTCCTTCATCCATTTGGTCCTTCCTTCTTTCCTCCCTTTATTTGTTTGCTCATGCAATCGTTCGTTTGTTCATATTTTTGTTCCTTTCTTCATTAGGCCCTTTGTTCATATGTTTGTTCGTTCCTTCCTTCCTTTGTTTGTTCAGTCCTTCCTTGAATCTTTCCATCATTAATTTGGTCCTCCTTCACTAGTTTGATCCTTCCTTCATTCTGTCCTTTCTTTCATTCCTTGTTCGGTCCTTCCTTCATTTGGCCCTTCTTTCTATTTTTCTTTTACTCCATTTAGTGATTGCTTTATGTTGTTTGGTGATTTTCAGTGTTTGGCGGACATCCTTCATTTTCTGATCAGGTCTTTGGGTCAAAGTGTGTAAAGATTTTGGACATATTCTTGGACATTTTTAATGCTTCCAAAAGGTTTAGATGCGATTTACTTTCTATGTGTGGTTTGATTGGACAGGAATTAAAGGACTGATTTTTCTACTTTAGCCAATCACCATAGACTATAAAGTAATGAAGTAGTGACTGCAGATTGAAGGAAAATAGTGGAAGAAAAGTACCGATGCAGCACTAAAAATGTACTCAAGTGAAAGTAAATGTACACATTTTTAAAACTTCTCAATTACATTAATTTGAGTATTTGTATTTGTTACTGGTTGTGATGTGAACAAGTGGATAGTGAGCATAGTTAATGGTGACAGATGTATAATTGTTGGTATCCCCTCCGTACAGCTCGCGTCGCTGCAGCGTTTTTTCCTCGCGCTCGTGACGTCACTGTGATGTAGAGCGCGCTGCGGGCGGAAGCGGGTGGGATGATGGCGGCGGTGCAGCGGGGCTCCAGCAAATGGCTCTTCACCCGAGAACAGTTCGAGAACACGCCGTCCCGCCGCTGCGGAGTCGAGCCCGACCGCGAGCTCTCCTACCGACAGCAAGCCGCCAACCTGATCCAGGACATGGGACAGAGATTAAACGTGTATCCTTCAGAAAAACAGTCGCATTGTGACTCGACTTAGCCGTTAGCATATTAGCACGCTGCCGCTTTTGATCAAGAGAAAAAATGTGGTGGATGAAATACGACGTTTTACGCGTTACAATCACACGTTTTTACATAAATGTCGTGGTTAATCGATTATAAAGTATATCCTGAGGTAGAAAGTGGGTCATTGTGTGAAATGGATGTGCGTGAATGACAGAAAGGTGATTTAGCTTTTTATGCTTTATGTATACAATAAAAACTATAATAGTGGATTAATACGACAATATTATGAATATTGTTCAATTTAATCTCATATTTACGTCAATAGTAGTGTGTTCAATGGATTAAGAGTGATTTAGACTTAAGTAATGGCGTACAATGGCTTGACTCATTACGTTTCCTTATTACGTGATGGGTTATTGTCTGTAGATGTGAACTTTAGTCTTTGTTTCTTTTTTGTGTGGTTTATTTTTGAGCAGCTTCTCTTGTTTTAAAGTAAATTGGTACTATATAGTGTTTTGGTGCCATAGTGGTGGTTTTGAAATTTCTGAATAATGAATATTATGTCTATGTATGTTACATAAGTCTTCTTCGCTGTGTTGTGCTTGTGTTTTCTTCCTTGATCAAATGATTCAGATCCCAGCTTACAATAAACACTGCAATCGTCTATATGCACCGGTTTTACATGCTTAATTCCTTTACTAAATTCCATAGAAATGTGAGTATGCCTTTTGTTTGTGTTTATTTCCTACTGATTATGATTTAATCACACTAAATGTCGTATTTGACCATCTATTATAATGTAAGATCTTCCAGGGTTGATTTAATTCCAAATGGTGACCATTTTCTACTGCTGATTTTTGATTTGTTTATTTTCCTGTAAGTTAATCTCGTGTTTTGTTCTCTCCAATCAGATCATTTCTCCCACCACACTATTTTTGGCTGCTAAAGTAGAGGAGCAACCCAGAAAACTTGAACATGTCATTAAAGTAGCGCATGCTTGCCTGAACCCTCACGACCCTCCTTTGGACTCCAAGAGCAGTGTGAGTATGAGGGTTAAGAGTATTGTAGTTTCTTGCTGTGCTTTGTTGGATGCCATGGTGATGAATCATCTTAGATAGCTGACTATGTTCTGCCGCGTGGAAGTGGGGTCAGTGAGATAAAATATACATTCAGTTTTTTGAGCTGCAAATTAGATTTTCTTTTAAATAAAAGAAAAGCATTAGGTGGCATTTCCTCAGTCAAACAATTTGTATGAAGTAATGCAGGACAGGAGGGTTAATTTGGGTGATTTATTTTTTTTTTTTCTCTGATCCAAATGGCCTAGGTTTTAGAAAATATTAGAGAAATGTTCTTAAATTTTAATGTCGACACCAAAAGTTTGCCTTTTTTAACTTGAAAGTAAATAAGGGTTATACAAGAAAGACATTGTGTTTTTAATTTTTTTATTTTAAAGGTATATTTAACCCAGATATAAATTTTCCCAATAATTTACGCACCCTCAAGGCTTCCTTGCTGTATATGACATTGTCAGACAAACAAAGTAGTTTTAAATTGTATCCTGACTTTTCCATAGTGTTTTGTAATGGCTTTTATATTGAAATCTCAAAAATGATCATAAATCTGTCATCAAACAAACCCATATGGTGCCAGGGGTTTAACACATGTTCCATGAAGCAAATTGATGTGTTTTTGTAACAAAAAATGCAAATATTCAAATTGTAAACTCCCATCAGACTTATGCCAATAACTGAATAATAATGATAATAATAATTCCTTACCTTTATATAGCGATTTTCTGGGCACTCAAATCGCTTTAAACAATAGGGGTTATCTCCTCATCCATGACCAGTGTGCAGCATCCACCTGGATGATGCGACGGCAGCCATTTTGCACCAGACCGCACATCACACACACCAGCTTATTGGTGGAGAGGAGACAGAGAGATGAAGCCAATTATGATATGGGGATGGTTAGGAGGCCATGATGGACAGAGGCCAGTGGGCAAATTTGGCCAGAATGCCGAGGATTTTTAACAACCACAGAGAGTCAGGACCTCAGTTTAATGTCTCATCCGAAAGACGACGCTCACTATACTGGGGCATTAGAACTCACACAGACTTGATATAACTCTTATGGGGCATTCACACCAGGCAGCTTGCAAGAATAAATCATGATATTTGCAAACGTTTCAAGTTTACGCTTTATTTGCATGTCCGATTCACTTTAGTCTGCCTGGTGACTAGTTTCGATGCTAAATGGCTGACATGGATTTTATGGAGAGTAGCTGTGCTTGTGGAAGGCTGAAAAACAGCATAGATTCGTTCGACACCGTGTCTGAGTACACTAGATCCTATTAGAGGTTCCCCCAGCTCATCAACTCCTCCAGAAACTATACCTGAATGATGAAAGGTTTCAGCTGTGCTTCTGACTGAGCTGGACCCAGTTTTATGAGCTGTTGTCCCATGTTGGCAAGAGGATTTCTCCTTGGGACACCAACAACAGGCACTACGTCACAATCACACCTCTTAGAGAGAGAGCTGATGATTGGCTAATGCAGCGTGAATGTCTGCTGAATTTCAGATTTTCTAACTTGCATTAAAAATGTGCAAAAATGCTCAACTCGCGCCAATTCATTCAGGCAGGATGTCTATCCGCATCTTTGCATTGACTTAACATGTAAATCACTTGCGATTGACGCTTCATCCGCGTTTGGTGTATGCACTATTATGAAGCAGATTGGCATTTTTATTCAGCAGACGCTTTTGTCCAAAGCAACTTACAATTGAGGAGGAATTCAGTGATTCAACAAGAGGCAATACACACAGGAAGTGCTAATTCTACA